ACCTCAAATGAATCCATGTTGTTGATAATTTAACAGTTGTTTTAAGACGGTTGTTAGAGGTTTTGTGACCTCAAGCCAGTTCAGCATTCAGACAAAAAATAAGTATAACTGATGATACTGAGATAACTATGTTTTATGTTTCAAATCTGACAGTGATAGTCTGTCTGATCCTGCTTTGTTTCTTTGTAGTTGTTTTGTGTCTCTTTATAGTCATTGTGTCTCTCTTTGTAGTTTTTTTCTGTATCTTTGTGGTTGTTTTCTGTATCTTTGTGGTTGCTTTGTGTTCCTTTGTGGTCGTTACGTGTCTCTTTGTAGCTGTTTTGTGTCTCTTTATAGTTATTGTGTGTCTCTTTGTAGTCATTTTCTGGAGCTTTGTGGTTGCTTTGTGTTCCTTTGTGGTCCTTATTTGTCTCTTTGTAGTTGTTTTGTGTCTCTTTATAGTCATTGTGTGTCTCTTTGTAGTCGTTTTCTGTATCTTTGTGTTCCCTTGTGGTCATTATGTGTGTCTGTAGTTATTTTTCTGTCTCTTTGTAATAAGTTTATGTTTCTCTGTAGTCATTGGTCTCTTTGAAGTTGTTTACTGTATATTTGTAGTTTTCTGTATCGTAGTTGCTTTGTGTCTCTTTATTAGTTTTTTGCATCTTTGTAGTTGTGTGTCTCTTTGTAGTTATAATCTGTATGTTTGAAGTTGTTTTGTGTCTCTTTGTAATCATTTTGTTTCTTTGGAGCCAGTGTGTCTCTTGGTAGTTATATGTTTGTGGTTTTCTGTATCTTTGTAGTTTCTTTGTGTCTCTTTGTAGTTGTTGCAACCCTATGTTTTGCATCTCTTTGTGGCTGTTGTGTGTCTCTGTGGTTACTTTGTCTCTTTCAGTGACATTTTGCAGGTGAAGCATCAGGGGCCTCCTGACCCTTTGGGCTGCCGAGTTAGTGACTGGCAGGCCCGTTCAGTAATCACTCCACTGAACTACTTATAGCATTTCATATCCGTTAGTTTGAAAGATTTTTAAATCAAGCTGTCAATGATGCTACTAAATTGTAATATCATTTTCCATAAATATAACATAAGTTAAGTTTTAGTTGTTATATAAAATGTTCTGTCTGTCTGCAGATTGGACCATATCACTAAGTCAAGCCGTGCAGTGACTTCAGCTTTCGCTTTCATCAGCAGCTGTGCCAATCCCGTCCTCTACACCTTTGCCGGGAAGTCCTACATCAGGCAGAACGGCTTTGCCTTCATGGCTCGGCTCTTTGAGGGCACATCATTTGACCAAACAGGAACCAAAAAGAGTAAAGACACTATGGGACTCAGTAATGTTGACTCCGCAAATGGCGCAGTCACACCTACTTTACAAAATGGGAGATGAGCATTGAATGAATATTGGGCATAAACGAGAGTGCTCTAAAAATTTGTGAAACCAAAGCTTCAGCTCAGAGCTTACTGACAAATATTTTGTTTAGTAGATTGTGTTGAAAGAAACAAGTTTATCTGGAGGTCAGTGGTGCAGACACAAGAAATTAAACTGAGGCTGATCTGTATAGTAGATCTGTAAATACTCTTTTTACATCTTTATATTACATTTTGTATGTTTCAGAAAATGAGAAAAAAAACATTAATATGATGTACAGTACTGTATCTACTTGGTGAGCAGATCACAAGCATGACAAACTTTATTTTCTTGAACAGGTGACACTTTACTTTGAGCCCCCCTTGTTAGCATTTATAAAGCGCGCTCAGAAACTGTTGACAAATAGATTAATACATCTGCTTACTTAGTGCTTAGTGTTGCATCATAAACATGTGTTTGAACCATAGGTTTGAACAGATTGATGCATGACACATTTTGGTTATGGAGACCTCAGATCCGCTCTTGCAATACTTAAAGTGGGCGGATCACCTTTTCCTCTTTGACATGTCTGGAGCTGGACTCTGCTGCATCCTTCTCATCCACCAACTATCACACTGACATGTTTTAAAAGTTGTGTGAAGTTTATGTACAGACTGCATCCAGTATCTTGCAGACTGGGCCATCTATAAATAAAAAACTAATGAACTTTTGGGTACAGACTACTTGCGTCTTTATTCCATCTTATGTATACAGATACTGTATCAGTTTTTCAATTAGTTCTGCATGTTTATTCTCACTTGTGCAAGTATGTATGAGTTACTAGCATTTTCAAATTCTCTTGCACAGCAGCTCTCAGCTTTAGTCTTGATTGTGTGTTATTGCACTTTGTAGGCATTGTACTGTTTTGTTATACCCCTATTTATATATTTTAGAAAACATGCAACTTTTGTGCAATTAAGTATAAATGTTCTGGTACGAGACTAAGTTCTACACACAAAAAGCTTGAACCACTTCTTTATTATATTCCAGACAGCTTTTACGCACATTTAAACATTAATGCTTCCTCCTTAAAAATACAAGATACAATAGTTTCCTCAACTGTTTATTGAAGATATAGCAGCTATTTTTCCCCATCATAGCTTCCAAAAAGGTGCAAATTATACAATAGAGTTTACATTAACAAAAACCTTTATAAACAAGTGAATCACAGTTCATACAGTGTCATAAGACATGTAGATTATAAATGCATTCCATATTTTCAGGCAGCACATCATATGTATGGCTTTCAAATTACGCTACAACTGTATACACATTCAACTTTGGCCTTTTAAAACTTTAAAAAACACAAAACTGGAGCAATCTGGAGGAGTCTGTCCATGCAGTGTTCCCATTACCTGTAAAAAACAAAAAACATTTGTTAGGTCTTGATTTAACATAATGGCCACTTTGGAGGCTGCATATATGGTGCGGCTGATCAGTAGTAGCTAAGAAGCTGACAGCAATGTACAATCATGTGCACTTCTCATGTATCAAACAAAAAGACCAATACTGACCTTATCAAAATGCATCCAATGCTGCCCTTACATCCTGAAAAGAAAACACAATGGGTTAGTCTCAGTGTGCACCACACTAAACATCCTCGGATGTATATGCAACGTCAAACCCATCAGTGCAGTGAAAGAATAATCATGAGGTTCAGGTGAAACACGGACTCACATGCAACTCATCATTAAGGTTTGACTGTGTAATGCAGAGCTAAAGCTTTATTATAATCAAACATGGCAACATCCAAAAAGGTGGTTCTGCTCTGACATGCGGATGAAAAAACCCACCATAATACCCCTGCAGAAGGTGCAAATGATTCCCAGCTATAATTTAACAGACTACACTAGGCTGCCAGATTATTAGGTACACCCAGCAAAAACTAATGCACTCCAGTACAACAGATTTGGAATAAAGTCTAACTTCACTGAGGTCATTATGTTCAATTTGTTAAAGCAGTTTGAGGTGGAATCATTTTGAAGGGTGTAGTTTTTATCATTCGTCACTGATATAAATGGGGTGGACAAAATAGTTCATACACCTGCTAAGTATAAAGTCATCATCACCTCAAACAAACTGACTAACGTTACCTTAATGAAAGCAGGATTTATTGCAAGACTCTTGCTTTAGACTTCATTAATGTTAGCTAACCTATCAAACAGGTAACAGAGTGCATGCTGATCATCCTAAAACACGCAGGGATTGGGGCCTGTCAGTTGCACACGAAAATCATTTTATTTATCAGTTAATTATATTGCACAATTCATGCAATAATGCAACACAAAGCGCTTTTAGTTAAGTAAAGTCGATGATAACAAAAAAGCAAACATTAGATGCACATCTTAGAATTAATTATGCCATTAATAAAGTTAGTTTGAGCCACAGACAGCATCACTCAGCTATAATTTGTAGGCCCAGCTCGGCTCATTAGCACAGACCATGCGGTCGGTTTGGCGCTACTGAAGCCACAATGCTAACAATGTCAATCTGTGTGGCAATAGCCGCATCAAACAGCTACATGCAGACACATAAACACATCAGCTGCGGCATAAACAAACTACTCTGATACCAAATGGGAATATTCACCATCGATGAGGCTTCTCGCAGGTTGGTTTTTCTCCCTCTGCCACAACACGTCCGACCTGCATCACTGCAACAAGGAAGAGAGACTGTTAATGAAGCTGAGCCCCAATTTATCTCTTTATCAAAATCACGTGTCTGCTGTCGGAAAGCAGACAGCTTCCGGGTCTGGCGCAGAAGCCACAGTCGCTCACTATAAAACACATGTTTTTTAATAATAAAACATTTAAAGAGCGTGTTCCCTTTATTGCATAAAGGGCGCATGTTATAATTGAAAATAAAGCTTTTTTAAAACTGAAAAGTAGCAACAAATAATGAGACATCATTCATCCATCAGCATTATTCTAAATTAATAAAATATAAGATATCAAACATAACATGAAACTTATATTTATCAATAATGGCAAAAAGTCAAATATATATATAAGATAAAGTAGAAAAAATATTAGGCCCATATTGTTTAGAGGACTCACCAAACAATCATCATAATACGGTAATATTAGACCCTGACTTATAGTATTGTTATATTCTCCTTTTTTGTTTATTTTGCTGTTTCCTCTCCCCATTTAATATTTATTGTGTGTCTCGTTTATAATGTTTTGTCTTTGCTTATATTGGCTGCTGATTTTTTATTTTATTTTCTTCAAACCAATAAGCAGATGGGACAAAAATCTATGAATATGCATATGAAGATTACCTATTAAAAATATTACATTAACACTAAAACGTGGAGATGTATTGTCACATTAAAATTTTAGTCTCAATGTATTTATCTATTTATTTAATTATAATTTATTATTTTGTTTCAACTATCTCTTATTAATTTACATATGTAGTATTTTACTACTATACAAATTTTTATATTACCATATATTTTTAATAGATTAGCGTCGGTTAACCAGCTAAAGAACGTAAGATAATATGATTAGCCCCTGATTGAATGCTACCTGTTCTTTTAAAACGTAGTGCTTTTTTTAACTACAAAATGACGTAAAAGGCCGGCTCAGTGTAGCTACGGAAAGCTTGTTGGTCTAAAAAGGCTAGACACAAAACTCACAGTGGTGTCGTATCAGTCATAAGGAAACTGTGTAACCTGCAGGCTGCAGCTACGGTCAGTTATTTAATTCACACTGGGCGGTGACTGAGCGACCATGAGAGTCTTAATAGGTGTGTAAGATATTTAACAATTAAACGTCTTTAAAATGTCGTTTCGGAAAGGTCAATGTGACATAACGCTACTAGCTAGCTGTTAGCTAATATTAGACTTGCAGACATAAATTGAGTATCAGCCGAGTATGAACCGAGTCAGTTACGTGTGCGTTATACTCGTCGAGAAAATCACAGTTAAAATGCGTGTCAGCTGTGTGATTAAACCTTGAGAAGTATCACTGTGTTACATAATAGTCATCCTAAGTTAAGTTTGCTAAAGGACTGTTTTGTAAGCATGTATAGTACGCATGCGCATTGCGCCCCATTCTGGCGATCGAGCTTATAGTGTGCTAACCATAAATTGATTATATCCAATGCACTGTGAATGAATACATCATAATGCAGCACACTCAATATTATATATCAGTAACATTAGTGCAAATATATCTTAATCTGTTTTATTCTCTCATTCACATTTATTATAACATGTAATTTATGGATGGTGTGCATTTCTCTATTTTGTCTGCCTTGCAGGAGGGGGGTCTGGCTTTGTGGGCCGTGAACTGACTCGTCTGCTCAGGAACAAAGGTCATGAGGTCACAGTGATATCTCGCCAGCCTGGTCCTGGGAAGATAACATGGGTATGATCTCAGGTTAATTCAGTTCATGGGTAACTCCTAACTCATCACATGTTTTTTGGCACTCTAGTGTCTGTTGAATCTTTTTACATCTGCTTTTTGGTGCAGATCACTGTCACTAAATCCAGAGTCATGTAAATTGTATTTTGTTGTCTGTGCTTCTGCAGGGTGAGTTGGAGTCTCATGGTCTCCCACCATGTGAGGGTGCTGTCAACTTGGCTGGAGAGAATCTAATGAACCCTTTGCGGTGGTAAGCAAAACATAAACACAGCTTGAGCGACAGCTGCATTAAGCCGCACTCTTTCATCCATTTCCTTTCGGTAGCTAATACACTAAATAGCTTCATCAAAGGTTTGTGGACACTCCTGATTAAACAGTAGTGTTGGGCTGAGGTTTGTCATGGCTAGTTTTTCTTGGTTTTTTGTGGCGGCAGTTTAGGGAAGTAGTTTACCCTGTTCTCAAAGCCGGGTCGTATAAGAAAAGGTTTTCCAGTTTAGCGTGACAGAACTTGACTGGCCTGCAAAGAGCACTGACCTCAACCCCATCCAGTATGTTTGGGATGCACTGCAAGGCAGACCTTATCGACCAGCATCAGAGCCTTACTTCTAATGCTCTTGTGGCTGAATGGGAATATATCCCTGCAGCCAGGCTCCACAATCTGGTGGAAAGGCTCACCAGAAGAGTGGAGGCTGTTACAGGAGCAGAATAATGTCTATAGATTTGGAATGACATATTCAACCATCACATATATGACTGTGATGTCCACATATGTTTGGCCACGAGGGGTATTTGTCCTGCTCAGTTGTAGCTTTGAATTTCTTATATTAAGTTGCGTTTGACTTATTGTATAGAGTCACATAAAATAAATATAATGGACAGTTAATTATGCAATTTCTGTACACAGTGAGGTTGCTTTAAGTACTGGATCTTCACCTGATGTGTTTTTATTCGTGGTTGCAGGTGGAATGAAAGCTATAAAAAGGATCTATTCTCCAGTCGTATCGACACTACAAAAACTTTGGCTCAGGCTATTGCTGCTTCCTCCACTCCTCCCCACTCCTGGGTCCTGGTATCAGGTGTAGGTAAGTCTCTGGTTAATAATAAAACTTAACACTCCAATTTGCTGCTGGTGGCAAGTGACATCTATTGTTTTATATCTCTTACTTTACTTTTTGACCCACAGCTTGTTACAAACCCAGTCAGACAGCTGAGTATACGGAAGACAGTGAATGGACGCCATTTGACCTCCTCTCTAAACTGGTGAAAGAGTGGGAGGCATCGGCACTTCTTCCTGAGGATGTGGCTAAAACCACTAAACAAGTCATCATCAGGCCTGGTACATAAAAAGTGCATATTGTATTTGAAGTTACAGTTGAAAATCCTTTATGTTTGCACGCAGAATGCTCATGTTTAACGAAGAGGCTTATTTTTCAGGTTTTGCACAAAAGGACAACAACACTGAGAAATACAGACTAATAGTGTGCTTTTGTGGGTGGAGCACTTGCTCACTGCTGTTTGAGAGCAGTTAATGCTTTGTTTCTAAATTTCAAGGTCTCACTACTTTTATGTTGTTCGAAATTAGAAATTTATTTTGCTATACATGTACCTGGGTCTAGGGTGATCAGTGAGGGTGTAACTCTGCTCAGTTGTAGGCTGTTGAAAAGGCTTTAATTTTATTCAAAGGAGCAGTGTGTACGATTTAGGGGGATTTAGTGACATCTAGTGGTGAGGATTGCAGATTGCAACCAGCTGAAACTTCTCCCGTGTGCAAGCGAGAACTCCTGGTTAAAATTCCTTCAGTGATCACTGCTCAGGAGGTTTTCAGCGGGAGCCAAAATATCCGCAGGCCTCTTTGTCTCCACAACAAACTGACCCAGTGATTCAAATCAGTAAAAGTGATGACTGCTGTAGCAACATGTCAGTGCAACATGGTAAACTCTGTGGACTCGCTCCCTATGTAGATATAAACAGCTCATTCTAAGGCAATGAAAAAAAATCTCTTATTTCCAGGTGATTATAAACTAAAGAAATCATATTTTATTCCATTTCTGCCAATATATCCCCCTAAATCCTACACTTTCCAAGTGTCCTCCTAAACATCCATTGCTCCCTCCCTCCACCAGGAGCAGTACTGGGCCGTGATGGTGGTGCCATGAAACAAATGCTGCTCCCCTTCTGGCTTGGCCTCGGGGGCACTCTGGGGTCAGGAAGACAGCCGTTTCCCTGGATCCACGTCTCAGACCTGGCAGGAATCATCGCCCACGCCCTGGAGCCCCCTTCTGACACTCCCTGTCCTTTACCACAAGTGTTCAACGGAGTCGCGCCTGCGCTGAACACCAACCACGAGTTCACTAAAGAACTGGGCCGGCTCCTGAGGAGGCCCACCATTTTCCCTGTGCCTGGCTTCGTCATGAACACCCTAATGGGCTCTGAGAGGGCTGTGGTGCTCACGCAGGGCCAGAAAGTCATACCAAAGAAGACTCAAGAGGCCGGCTATGAGTACAAGTACCCGGACTTGACTTCAGCCTTGACAGAGATCGTTGGGAGTTGAAAGAATGTGTGCTGACTTCAAATATTCTGTAACTGTGTGTTCATACTTGATTACAAGATTACAAATGTGACAGCTCAAATCAATCAATCAAGAACTCAGGGTGACAAATAGGCCTGAGGACTGCCTGAAATATCAGCTAAGACCAGTTTATGAAGCACTTTTTCTGAGTTGGTTCATACTAAGCATTGAAATAGATCTGAGAAATCAGGACTCGATGGACATAAATCCCGGTGTGATGAAAGTCATGCGTACATCTGGGGCACACTGAGATCCAGTTTTTCAGGCATTGAAGGACTTCATAGCAGGCCAAAATGTCATTTGGGTAAGACCGTGCACTCCTCTCATTGTACGGCTAAAGGCAGGTGTGTATTTTTTTTTCCTGGTTATCAGAATTTTCTCTTTTTGATAGCATCAACTCAAATGTGAGCAGAGATGCAGAAGAAGGTACCCTCTGATGCCAAGTGTGAGCTGCAGTCTGAATAATCTGCGTGGTTGTGCTGCACTTAACTGTTATTGTCATTACTGATCAATCTGGTGATTATTTTCTTGATGAATGATTAATTGTTTAGTCTATACAACACCAGTGCAATTACTCATTCATAATAACAGTCATTTTAGGTTTAAGTAGCAGAAAGTAACCATGAAGATCATAGTTTCTTTTCAATTTTGGGATTCTTTCACTGAAGGAATGATATTTATCCAGATTCTCTTTGAATTTTAACCTGAAGCAGTGAAATATGCAGGAGGAAAGTCTAAATCTCCATCTTGAGATGTTTCAAATATCACATTGCCGTTCAAATTGCAGGATCCTTGTTACAAGAAATGGACTATAGTTTGTTGAAGGTGGTGCACAATAAAGCCGGGCAAAGTACATATGACTTTTTATTGAAGTTATCAAAGCCTGTCAAATGTGCCGGTATTTTAACAACTCCAGTAAGTAAATGCAGATGATCTGTTAAACTAAAAACTGATGAGGTCTTGGTCGGCAGGCTTATTCCGTTATAGGGTGTCTATAAGGCCAAAGAATGTGTCTCTTCCTCGCTGAATCCTCACTCTGAATCACTCTGGATGTCATCATCAGCTCTCTGAATCACTGGCAGTTGATCTCCCCAGTCGCTGCTCCGGGCACAGCGGTACACATCTCTGATTGAAAGAAATAAAGCACAATTTTCAGTCAAAAACCATGACGCCATGATCAAAGACTTTAAACAACTACCAATGAGCTTAACTCAGTGTCCAATAAAAGCAGCATACCAATCTCATGACTAAGGACTGGGTATCAATACTTTTGGTATGGAGTCAGATATGTGTCTGTGACATCTTGCAGTAAAAACTGCCAAATACTGAAAGATGGCATCGGACATCTGGTTGATTTGTGGTCTTATTTTCTTATTTCTGATCAGACAGAGTTCGTCATTTAAATCAAATATTTCCCCTTTTTTGCCTCTGTTCTTTTAGGAAAAGTTCTTGTACATCTGCTTGAATTTAACTTTTTAAAAGTTTGGCTTATTTTGTCAAATTAAAATGCTGGTATTTTCCATCTATGTACATTCATCTGATAAAACCTCCAATAATAAACACACATGTATCAAAAGCCCCTTTCACACTGCCTGTTCAAGATGGGAAGGTTGCACTACTATTCTGCCTTATTAAAAGCACGATTGCGGGATGGGGGACAGATGCTGCGTTCCATTTACCTCAGAAGTCGGAGGTTGGAGCGAGGAATGACGTCACATGCAAGTTGACTGTGTTCTCGTACAACAAGTCAAAAAGCCTAGCCTGGTTCCAGACCATAGACCCCGCCCACTCAACTGAGTAGGCTTGCATCTCTGGTCTGGCATACTGCAATGAATTTGCAATTTATCTTGTCCAAACGATGGACGGACCAATGAACGCTGGGGGTGGGGGCGGGTCTAGCGATTAGCCATTCAGCGCCACGCTAATGGCGACCGCTACAGATCCTACAGACCACATTAACGATGCTATCGAGGTATTTCGCCACTACTCGCGTTAATGGAGGACCAAATTAAGGAAGCTGCTAAACTGGATTTAACGGCGATGCAGCTGGGCGTGCACGACGACGGACACATTTTAAACCGGCAATGCTTGCTTGTTTTCGGCACCCCTGAGGCATGGATACTAATGACGTCAGATTCTGGGTGAGTTGTTGATCTCTACTGATTGGTTAGGGAAAAATCAAATTCCCTCCCCCTTGTAAATTGCCTTCAATGGAGGCCATGTCAGACTGAAGGTTCTGGGAGCTTCAGTCTGACACTCAGGCTACAAAAAAACATGATGTGGTTAATAATACCAGTTCAAGCCAGGTTAGCCATTGTTAGCAATACCAGTTGATAACAATGCATTATGCTGTATTTTACGCATACAAACACTATCAACATGTCCACAGATGGATGTTGGACAGGACTGTGCAGAGGACGAGATCAATTGCCATATAACAGGGACAGCAAATTATTATTATTGCCATGTTATGCCATTGTTATTGTTTAGGGAGCTCTGCCAATGCATATGTTAAATTGCATATTAGAGGTCAACCCTGTTGTGTTACACCTCATGCTTGTCATGCCTCTTATGCTTCCAGGAAACCGGCACTCTCTCTAAAATCACACACAGGGGTGGTGTGGTGTCACTGTTGTTTGGCTCTGTGTAAAAAGGGCTATAGACATAGTATGAAACACATGCTGTATACCAAATACTGCTACCGCTAATACTCCTCATGAAGTCTCTTGCAGCTCTAAAAACAAATTGACTTTGACAAATTAAACCCAAGCTTTGACTTCCTGTTTGGAATTTGTAAGCTGATGCTGATGCTGCCGATGAGTTTAACAATATGTGATGCAGGACCTCTACCTGCTGTGTTTTCTTGCTGTCAAAACCAGGTGTTGTAGTTGTCCATCGGGGCAGCACATTCGACAATGGACGTGTCTTGATCTGCGCTGTACCGGTGCAGTCAGCCGTGCCCAGTCCACACCTTCTGTTTCAGTCTCCGCTGGCTCTGTCCGAGTCAGAATCAGGTAGCTGAACTTCTCTGTCTGCCGCTCATTGTGCTGAAAAATAACAAGGTGGAATCTGGTTATGATTTGACTGCCTGTTTATACGCAAAAATTAATAACATTTTCATGGAGTTGCTACCTTTTGTCAGCAACTCAATTCTGATAAGTTCCTGTAATTAGTGTGTTTTACACAGGAAAGTCAGCATGAGCAGTGATGTTACTGTGGCTGAGAAAACAAAGAAAGTAGCTCCACCTACAGGTGCTTTACATCAGGGGTTTTCAAAGTCTGACTGACTCTGAGTTGTAACTTTTTTGTCAAACAGCTATTTCTGAAGTCAAGAATGAACTTTCATACTTGACATACTGATGTTTGACTTTCAGGAGGAAGGCCGTAAACAAACATGTAATCCAGAGATTAGTCTTACCCCGGGCAGTGGCAGAGGATGGTACATCTGCTGGAAGTTGCAGGGCGTGACGGGCTCACGCACAAGTTTAGGACACGTCATTTCATGAGGACACTGGAAAAACAAAACATTTGAGAGAAGACGCAAGAAGACTGTTTAAAGTATGACATTATATTATAAACCAGCTGGCAGTTAAACGTACCGGAGCAAACACTGACGCTGGTCGGTTGTCATAAACAGTCTTCTCTTTTTTCTGGAGATAGAGAACTGTTAGTCATGGGTCTGCTTCTATTAACTGTGTCAAATAATTAACAAAAAAAGGATCTAACAAAATTCCCCCTGTGGATTTTTAACTATTGTATTTGAATACCTTTAATAAAGTGTCTCTGGCCTCCATGAGCATCTGATGGCCCTCTTTGGTCCCGTTTTCAACCAGAACCTATACCAAAATGTAAAAAAAAAACAAAAAAAAAATACAAAATTAAATATGATTACATATGATACGGTTTCTTAGGTATAAGAATAGTTTGAAGACAAGGTGCAATGTATACACAAAATCTAGTTAATATTCAATGAATGTACAAGGACAATAAAAGTTAAAAAAGTGCACATCATCTATAGGTGAAGTTCTGTATTTATCTCAACCAACCAGGTATGAGTTTGTCTTTCTCCACAGAGTTAACACTGTCTCTTCTCGCTCCGTCCCATTGAGAAGCTCCGACAGAGTGAAGGCTGCCACTACCAAGTCGAACTGCACCTGGAATAAGAAAAAAACACAGAATTGTCAGTCCTCCTCTCTCCTCCATAAATCCAAAAATGTTCCAAGCACAAAACTTCACTGGTTTTGTTCGGTGTAGTTTTGACAAATATTTAGGCAATCCTACAAACCAAACTTGGCTAGAGGCTCAAGGGATGATGTATGCAGCTAGACACACTCTGTGGTGCAGTCCAAGCAAAACTCTGATGAATTTTGAATGATAAATATTTAACTTAAAAGCAAAGATATTTTGTCACAACAGCCTCAACAGCTTGCTACAACTAGAAATAAAATTACAAAACCGGGTTCTGTAAAATAAGTTGATAAACTGACAATTAGGTGCAGTCAAAAACAGTATGTTATCACTCTGCCAGGGGCTGACCTGAGCTCAGGCAATCTGCCCACACATAAGAGTGGTGGAGGGGAAACATTGGGCAAATAAGAAGGATGAATCTGCGTATGAATCTTTGTTCAAACTCCAAATTGAAGGCTGAACTTTAAATTCAATTTCTGAAGGAAAAAAGGTCCAGTATGTAGGGTTAGGGGGACATATTGGCAGAAATGGAATATTTATGTTTCTTTTCCTTCCTTAGTGTATAATCACCTGAGATAAGAATCGTTGTGTTTTTATTACCTTAAAATGAGCCATTTACAGTACAGGCCAAAAGTTTGGATACACCTTCTCATTCAATGCGTTTTCTTTATTTTCATGACTATTTACATTGTAGATTCTCACTGAAGGCATCAAAACTATGAATGAACACATGTGGAGTTATGTACTTAACAAAAAAAGGTGAAATAACTGAAAACATGTTTTATATTCTAGTTTCTTCAAAATAGCCACCCTTTGCTCTGATTACTGCTTTGCACACTCTTGGCATTCTCTCCATGAGCTTCAAGAGGTAGTCACCTGAAATGGTTTTCCAACAGTCTTGAAGGAGTTCCCAGAGGTGTTTAGCACTTGTTGGCCCCTTTGCCTTCACTCTGCGGTCCAGCTCACCCCAAACCATCTCGATTGGGTTCAGGTCCGGTGACTGTGGAGGCCAGGTCATCTGCCGCAGCGCTCCATCACTCTCCTTCTTGGTCAAATAGCCCTTACACAGCCTGGAGGTGTGTTTGGGGTCATTGTCCTGTTGAAAAATAAATGATGGTCCAACTAAACGCAAACCGGATGGGATGGCATGTCGCTGCAGGATGCTGTGGTAGCCATGCTGGTTCAGTGTGCCTTCAATTTTGAATAAATCCCCAACAGTGTCACCAGCAAAACACCCCCACACCATCACACCTCCTCCTCCATGCTTCACAGTGGGAACCAGGCATGTGGAATCCATCCGTTCACCTTTTCTGCGTCTCACAAAGACACGGCGGTTGGAACCAAAGATCTCAAATTTGGACTCATCAGACCAAAGCACAGATTTCCACTGGTCTAATGTCCATTCCTTGTGTTTCTTGGCCCAAACAAATCTCTTCTGCTTGTTGCCTCTCCTTAACAGTGGTTTCCTAGCAGCTATTTGACCATGAAGGCCTGATTCGCGCAGTCTCCTCTTAACAGTTGTTCTAGAGATGGGTCTGCTGCTAGAACTCTGTGTGGCATTCATCTGGTCTCTGATCTGAGCTGCTGTTAACTTGCCATTTCTGAGGCTGGTGACTCGGATGAACTTATCCTCAGAAGCAGAGGTGACTCTTGGTCTTCCTTTCTGGGGTCGGTCCTCATGTGTGCCAGTTTCGTTGTAGTGCTTGATGGTTTTTGCGACTCCACTTGGGGACACATTTAAAGTTTTTGCAATTTTCCGGACTGACTGACCTTCATTTCTTAAAGTAATGATGGCCACTCGTTTTTCTTTAGTTAGCTGATTGGTTCTTGCCATAATATGAATTTTAACAGTTGTCCAATAGGGCTGTCGGCTGTGTATTAACCTGACTTCTGCACAACACAACTGATGGTCCCAACCCCATTGATAAAGCAAGAAATTCCACTAATTAACCCTGATAAGGCACACCTGTGAAGTGGAAACCATTTCAGGTGACTACCTCTTGAAGCTCATGGAGAGAATGCCAAGAGTGTGCAAAGCAGTAATCAGAGCAAAGGGTGGCTATTTTGAAGAAACTAGAATATAAAACATGTTTTCAGTTATTTCACCTTTTTTTGTTAAGTACATAACTCCACGTGTTCATTCATAGTTTTGATGCCTTCAGTGAGAATCTACAATGTAAATAGTCATGAAAATAAAGAAAACGCATTGAATGAGAAGGTGTGTCCAAACTTTTGGCCTGTACTGTATATTTACATAGGGAGCAGGTCTTTATCCACAAAAACCATCATATTGCACCGTGTGTTTCTACTGTAGCCCAGAACGGACAAACCAAACAGTGGCTCTAGATAGAGCCATTTGTGTTTCCACGTCGGCCACCATAGTTAGCAGTCCCTCTGTGACGAGAGCATTGGAAAAACACTGATTTGTAATGTGAAACTTTTTCATTCAGTGTTTTTAGCGGTTTAAATCACAGGATCTGTTTGTTTTGGAGAGGAAGAGACCTCTGTGGATAATTTGGCTGCTGGTAAAAACCTCCTGAACATCTGGATCAGGAAAAAAGGTGAGCACACATTAGGAGATGCCAAGCTAGCGGCTCGTCTGCAACAAGCCAAACAGAGTCGGAGAAACACAAGTTTCAGCTGGTTGCAATCTGTGGTCCTCACCGCTAGATGCCACTAAATCCCCCTAAATCTTACATACTGCTCCTTTAACCTTTAGTGAACACAGACTTTATTTTCCTGTTACTGAAATAAAAACTGGGAGGTTTACCTTTGGAGAGACAGGGAGGAACTGTCTGAAATAGACTTGTTTGATGTGCGGTTCAGCGTTTTCATCATCACCTGCTCAACAAGCAAAACAACAAGGCTTAGATATTCTGATTAGGTATTTGACAAAAGCCCAAACAAAAAAAAAGTTATAAATCCAAACTGATACAAGTGTTTGTGTGCACCTTTAAGAAGTCGTTCTGCTAGAGTGTTCATCGGCCCAGAGCTGTCCACACACACCATCTCCTTCAAAGTATTGCCCCAGCACGAGTGTGAAGCCCTGTGGAAGAGAGAGAGGCTTCATAGTCCTGTAATTTACATAAAATCTCTCTTCATGTTTCAGCAGTGTGCAGTGTTTTAAACTAACCAGACAACTGTTCCCAGCCCTGATCCAAAATCCAGGAGAGACTGAGGGGCAAAAGATGGATCCCTCTTCTTTATCTGAAAGGACAAAAAAACATCCATGAGTTTTCACCCCCAGTCATTTTGTATTTGTCCTTGTGTTACCACTTTAAGTATAAACATTTATTTTAATTATCTGAGTGACTGACTCTTGAGAGGCAGCCCTGGCATTGTGACCTAAGTTAGCCTGTGGTCTCCACCACTCATTCATTACCTCATTCATGGCTCTCCTCACTGCTGCATAGCCCCCAGCCAGCCGAGCTGCCATGTACACCACACCTAACTCTTCATCAAACCTGAAACACAGAGCGTGAGCTGTATGGAAACTCATCCACACCTTCAAATCATCAGGAGAGTTCAACAATTACAAGCTCAAGAATGTAACTGCAAAGGGTGGCTCACCAAAACCTGTCCCTCCACTTAGGGCTTTGTGCTGGTGTACGAACATAACATTTTACAAGCCTGAATTTAAGTGTCTACACCTTGGTACCTTACTTTACCTTACAAATCAGACTTGAATCTTGTCTAACGTGGGTAAAGAATGCTGTTTCTCCATTTGGAAGTAGTTAAACTAATTGAGATGTTTCTGAACACACTTAATTTCATAATCCAATAAATTAATGGGTAGTATTGTTATATAAAAGAAGGTGTAGATAAAGTCAAGTGTTACTTCATAGGAGTCCAGCGATATGTGGTTCGTCTGAGCTCTGAAAACACTTTCTTCCTGATGCGGTCTTCAAGGGTTTCTTCATCTATATCTGCAATATAAAGTACATTTACTTTTCTCCACCTGCTGCATTACATAATCTCTGTGCAGCTTTTATCCATTCATTATTATATTTTGATCAACGTGTCACCCACCTTCTTTTTTCTCCATCGCCTTCTCCCAAAGTTCTTTCTCCAGGGTCAGAGCTTTCTGCCTCAAAGTCGAATCCTCGACTGCTCGTTTTCTGCTCCATAGGAAGTTTGTAAGGCTGCGAGAGCGGTCAGTCAGCCGAGTCACCTGAGCTCCTTCAGGTGGAGAGATTAAAGAGTTGCACAGTGAAGCTATAGAAACATTTGGCATGCAAACTGACAGCCACATTTATAACTTAACCTACTGTGAATAATTGACTGTGCAGCCATCTGGAGCTCTTCAGGTAGGCGCAGAGTCTTCAGGTTGGTCACACCTGGGTGCTTCCTGTGTGGTTCTCCTTTTAGGAAATCTACATGGGACTGCGGGTATGCAGCTGCACTCATACCCTGAGGATGAGAAATAAAAACTTTTTTTTTTTACTACATCTTAAGAAGGCTCATTCTTGTCTTCAATCAAAGCAAAAACAAGACAAACAAAAAACACCATTAGATAGTTTCAAGCCAATACTATGGTATTTGATTTAAAATCCGCAGTCCATCTACGCATATTTTATTTCTGATTTCTTCATTGATTGACTCACACTCTGGACTTATAATTTTAAATTAATTACCATAGATGTATAATACATATTGCAATAAATTATTTTGTCTGTGTTACCCACCCTTGCAAACACATACTGTATGAAAAGCATAATGAAATCACAACTGCAAAGTCCAGATAACTCAAATAAAATAAACACGAATAAAATAAAATAAAAATCGTACCATACCTGAAGCTTGTTTGTTTCGATATATAGTCAGTTGTTGAATGACTTAAGCACTGGATTCAGCACTTACACATTAATTGAAGTACTTTAATTCAACAAGTCATTGAATCAGACGGAAATTTCTGCCCATAGAGCTTTTTGCAGAAAACACATACACAGACACAAAGAGTCACTATCACTATTTTAGTATAATTTTGGCAAATAACAAATTAAGAAAAAACTAGGTACATTGAGTGGAGAAAGTAAGTGTATTGAAACAGGAGGAGATTGAAAGAATGTGATGAATACATTTTAAGTTTACTCTTATACAAACTACGCGTTACTCTATTTATCTCAGTCTTGTTTGTAACAGCATATCTGTCTGACCTCCATGTTAAAGATGCTGCGTCCAATGACACACAAACTGCACTCACCCTACACATTATCTTCACAACAACCGCCCTCTGATAGAGGACACAAACGCCATAGCTCCGTGAAGCCATATCTTCGGCGACTAAACGGTGACTTCTTGTGTTCAAATAGCTTCAGTATTCATTTTCATCCGCATCTTCGTGGGTAACGTTATAGAAGCACGTTAGGCTCTTTTATCCAGTCCTTTAACAAAATAATTCCGACCCCCGGTTGACGCGGAACCTTTGGTCCTTAACTTCTGTTCCGCCTGGTAACAATACATACAAGAGTTCTCACTCTGTACTTGTTTCCGAGTGCGGTGTAACATCTCCAATATGGTTTACTTCCTAATAATATTGTGGTTTTTTTTTTTGGGGGGGGGGGGGGGGATATCGTGTAAATAATAGTGAACATTAGCACAAAATACTAAAAGCGAAGGTTAAAGTTAGATTACTAGTGAAACGTGAAACGTTATCCAGGTCCGTGCTAAAAAAGAAAACGAAAAAGAAAAAATCGTTGCCATGGTAACGTGGCGCATGCGTCAGGGGCACAAAAGCTTTTGTTTTACCCACGGAGTGATTCATCTTGATACTAAACGATCTTTAGCGGCACCGGCTCGGAAACACTTGGTGGTGAAAGTTTACTGCTCTTGTTTCTGTCACTGCACATTCTTTATTATTTATCCTACCTAGATATTTTTGAACAAACAACAATGAAGCGAACAAGAAGCTCAAAAAGTAAAACTCAGAGCGCACAAGAAACCGAAGAGGTCCAGTCCAAAACAGGTTGGTGCTTGTTTCCCGCGGTAAGGTTAGCTTAACAGGGAAGCGCTACCGTAGCTAAGTTAGCTGCTGTAACGACGTCAGTTGAGGACATGTCTGGGCAGCGAGCAGGGAGTGTGTTTGTGGTCTATGCAGGATTCACTGTTGTTATTTAGTTTTTGGAAAATAACCAATATTATGCCAAGGGTGGCGTTTACATTTGTTACAGGTTGAGCAAGTTAGTAAAACTTGTTAATGACCGCAACTGCGATAGCCAACATAACGTTACCACAAACCTAAAGGTCCTGGATGCCAAGGGATGCAAATAATGTTTATTAATACCCAACATGCCAGTTTATAAGTCACAACCAGCTAGAACTAATGCAGCTCAATAAAACTGCAGGGCTCAACAATAAGGATTGCCCGATTGCCCTGGGCAAGTAAAACTCACGGTCGGGCATGTAAACTAACAACTCACTTGCCCGATCGGGCAAGTTGCTAAAAATAGTAAAGGTTAATAACTAATTGATAAAATAAATGTATTTTAAAACGTGCTCTTCGGCTCTGATGCAGCGGTCTCTCTGCCTGAAGTCACAGGCACAGCTGTGTAACAATGTCCTGCCCACAGCCCCCATTGATATTATTTTGCGCGACGGACGCTTCATATAATAACATAACAATATACTATTTATGGTGTTATGCCATTGTGTCATTTCTGTCTCTACATGGTCACGCCTTAACAATTCTCCTCTGCTCTCTGTATCGCGCACGGCGGGCCGCATTTTCCTGACCAAACCTGACCCCGAGCCCGGTGCAGTTTGTCAGCTGACAAAGTTGTTGTTATGAACAGTGTGTAAATAACCATCAATAGACTGCTGTTACGCACAGACAAACAGCTGCTCGCACAGCAGCGCAGCACGGCACTCGTGCTGAGCTTGTGTTGCGTTCAGGTGTTGTCACGTAAATAACAACTTCCAACACTTAAACAGGTCATGGCACAAAACAGCAGCATGTCAAGTGACTTTTTACTTTATTATATTCAATAAAATTGTATGTTCCTAAATCTTGAGACACCTCGTATGTAAGCTAGACAGACATTTCACCTGCTCATTACTGTGCACACATGTACTGTATGTACTTAGTCCTAAAGAGCCCTTCTGGTGCCAGTAGATACACAGAAACATCCCAGCAGGCTGTGCTTTGCAAGCATACAAAAAAGTTTCACGCATGTGAAAATTATTTTTCATGCGTGTGCTTCACCTCTGCTGCTACAACTCCATCCTAGGGGAAACACTGCTGTGTGCGTTTTGTGCAACAGGTGGATGTGGTAGTCTACTGGTAGAGTAGAGAGAGAGCTAAGTAGCGTTGAAGTAGAGTAGAGCAGGGCAGAGAGATGGAAGCAAA